TACGCGTTACATGTAAGAGTAATTACATTATAAGTGATACTACGAAGAAATTACAGAGAGATCTAAATATTTAATGAAGAGAAAGTACACTATATTGCCATCTCATTTCTAAGGAATTGAGAGAAAGAACATACGATTTTTCCATCGAATAACAATATTTTGATATAAGCAAGATATCTTTCGCCCTCGAAATTCCATATTTGTCCACAGTTATCGTGAAATGATTTACCATAAATTAATTTTTTTCGTAAAATTTTCTGAGTTTTATTTTTTTATTAATAAATATGTGAATTAATTTATTTATCCGATAAATTAAATATCAGTTTAGTAATTTTCTGATAATTAAATAAGAAATAATTTACGATTTTTGGAAATAGTTAAAGTACACATAGTATCCCGAGGGTGAAAAACAATTTTTGTTTTTTATTATTTTGAAGAAAAGTTGGCGAATGCATCGATCAGCCTAGCAAAATTGAGTAAACTTTGCACTTGATGAATAAAATTTAAAATTTTCCATTTCATGAGATTCTCATTTAATGAGTTTTAGATCTTAATATAAGATTGTTATATGTCATGTCAAATATAGTGGCACGTAAATCAAATATATCAAGCGAAATGTTTCAAAATATTTTAAATATCAAAGTTGTCAGAATATATAAATCCAATAAAACAAATTTTACGGATTTTGATGACAATTTTGACGATTTTACTTACAATGGAACACGTGTATGATACACGTATATATTTGAAATCGAATCTAGCACATTTTTATAGCTTAAAGCAAGCAAAGCAAAACCCATCAAAGGCGAAAAAGATATTATAGAGAAAAATTAATATTTTTAAATATTATGTACTTAGTACATGAAAATATGAAATTCAGATAAGTGCAAGTACAATAGTTGATCGATGCATTTTTCTCAGGTTTACATTCATGTCCTTTGGATAGCAACAACGGTATATTATTACGACATACAAAGAATGCATGCATGTCACACACATCTTATTTAATATGGGAATAAAAAATTGTTCAATTTCAAATCAAAAAATTTTTCAATTAATATGAAGTATAAGTTAAGCCATATCCAATTTTATAATAATAATAATCAAGACATGTTTCTCATTAAAACCAAATAAGTTATACTTCATTGCAATTGTATTTAAAGTATTGAAACGATTTGATAGAGTTATAATTAAAGAAATAATCTAAAATTAAGTAGTTAACTAAAAATATTAATTTTCTTCTTATTTTTAGAGAAATGGAAACACACAAATACATTTAATTATATGTTACCACAATATCGATTCCCATATTTTTGAAAGCTACATAGACACACACGAATAGTTTTCTAGAGCAGTAGCAGCTAAGAAATTAGTATAGAGATTAATGCAGGGTGATTACGATTAGGTTAGGTAATTTATTAGAGGAGAGTAAGTCGCGATAAGTGAGACGAGAGAGAGCGATTAAGCAAAATATTTTTACGTCACTGCTAATTACTGCGTTTAAGTGGTCATTACAATTAAGTAGATCAGGATAACGTCTCCGTCATGATGAATCTATCTATTTTTTGTTAGAAGATTTAAATTATTGGGTGTTGATGTGGTTTTAATTATACAATCCGCTTTTAATTGTTGATTAAAATTTGTTCCGCGGAACATTCCTGGTCCTTTAAATGTATCGCCGCATCTCTTTATACAAGCGAAAGCATTAAAATTTTAATATTCTCGAAAGCTCTCAACATTCCAGACATTGAGATTCTCGAGTGCGTTATTAGAAACATATTGAAATGTTTGAATTTTTTCATAACCGTTTTGTTTTTATAAAATTATAATTTAACAAATTTGTCTCAAAATTTTAATCTCTACATGTTTTTGAACTCGTAATAACTTCTTAAAGTAATCTTCATAATAACTTTTATTATTTTACATGTATATCAGTCACATTATAATGACTATAAGAATAGAAAGAATATAAAAAATTTTTTTTATATTAGGAAATATTAATGCTTGCGCTTGCAGTTCTTAATCAATTCCATGGATATACTTGGTTTACACATCTATAGCGGATAAATATATAGCATGTATCGAAAATTATACGAGAAAAACTATGCATATATCTTCCGTGAATCGATTTACATTGAGTAATTGACTTCGAGTATAACATCGCTTTGGATAAAATCTGAACTGTACATCGCGAAGATGTTTGAAGAATATAATAGCGATATCATTGCACACACCATATCGGTGCCCTAATTCAAAACTCATAACTACGAAACTCTGAAAATTCAAAAAATATTATTTAAAGACGTAAATAAATAAAATCCTTAATAAAAAATTTTTTTGCGAATAAAAGATTTCCATTTAAGTCCATGAAAAGTTTGTCTAATTGTAAAATCCTGGTGCGCAATTATATAAAAATTGAAAATTCTCAAAGATTATATCGTAATGTATATATGTAATGTTATTAATTTGATGATAAAATAAAAATATTATAATTTTATCGTCCATGTTTGGAGTTATGAGATTTAATTAGGGTAATTAAACGTGCAAGACGATTTAGAGGAAAGAGCATAAAGTTCGGCCGAGATCAGATCTTCGAAAATGATCTCGTTTGTTTCTCTTTATCTCTGATAACAAAATATTTAGATACATATGTATATATACGTACACACATTTGCATGCATGTTATACATACATATACACATATATGCATGCGTATATCTTTTTGTAAATATATACATATATATTTTTTCTTTGATTATATTAATCCGTATTCTTTAAAATTCTAAGAAGCTGACTAAATTTATTGTAAATTTTATAACAAAAATATATATAAGGATTCTAAAACTATTAATAAAATATTATAATACTAATAATGACAATAATAATAATAATAATAAAATTCTAAATACGTATTTAAATAATATTGTCAATAATTTTATGAGTCAAATAGAATTAGAAATAAAATTAATAATAGAATTATATTAATAAGGCAAATTGAAATTATAAATATATATTGTAATCGCTGTTATACATTTATTTTATATTGTATTTTATAATATAGAGAGTTATTATATATACTTTTCACATAAGAATTTCGCGAATGAATAAAATATAATAGTAAAGGAAAAAGTTACTATCTATAGCTAAAATAAAACGTGCGACAAAAATTAACTTTTTTGAGATTGTGGTAGATTTCAGTATACAAATATTGATTGCACCATTTGGGATTAATTGCAGAATGAATTACCCATCATAGGATAATTTTCGAAGATCTTTAGCTAGACAAATAGTTACACGAGAGCAATAAGCTGTGCGACGAAGGTGACCAATCAGACAGCGACATTGACGAAGAAGAAGACAGAGAAGACACGATAAGTCGAGTAAAAATTCGACATGCACATCGACAGATACATGAAAGAGATTACATATCCAATGCACGTCAAAAATATATCATAAAAAATAATTTCTTGTTCTTTCTGCACCTTGGATATGATATTGTCTCCTTGATTCTTGTGCGTGAATCGTTGGAGATTAAAATGTTATTTGACATTATTTCTTTGCATAATTCCATAAAAAAAAATGTAAAAATAATAATAGGAGATCGAGCGAGCAAGAGAGAGAGAGAGAGAGAGAGAGAGAGAGAGAGAGAGAGAGAAATATTACAAATATAAATACAAAAAGGTTTAATTTAATTAACATAAAATATACAGAGAAAACTTGGTCAATTCTACAATCCGACAGATGCAGTTTATTTCTTCACATCTAAATAAACTTATATTTTATGAAACTACATTAGCATTTAATTCAAATAAGAAAATATTTAAAAAGATATAATATATTAATTAATTTATTCTAAAATGGAAGAAATTTTCTCTACAGATTTTTATATGAATTTAATGAAATAAAATTTGTTACAATTTATACTGATATAATTTACTGTCTGTGACAACTTATTATAAATATAACCAGCAATTACTTTTGATTATTTTTTACGGTATTATGTATTTAATCTTTTGAGGAAGGATTGATTTCTTTTTATAGTTAATTTATATGTGAATTTTTCCTCAATCGCTCTCGTTGAAAATGCGTGTTTAAAAATCACGAAATTCAAATTTTCACGTAGAGCTTTAAGCCTTAATGAAAATTCTTATCCGTCTCTCAGGCAAAACCGAAAGGGGAATAGGAATAAGTCAAATGCTGAAGGAAAAGTTTTTGGTTTGTTTTTCGCGAGCAAACAGCTGCCGAGTCGCATCGAATGACGGAGTTTTCTTCTCTGGAAATCAAGAGAGAGAGAGAGAGAGAGAGAGAGAGAAAGAGAAAGAGGAAGAGAAAGAGAGAGAGAGAAAGGAAAGGTGAGAGAAACAGAGAGTGCAGCTGAAAGGGATAAAACTGAGAAGAAGAAAAAGGAAGAATAGTAGCGCGTTGTCAGCGATTTTTGCGAAACTTTCGACCGCCACCAAACTTTGCGATCTTCGGAAAGACGGCTCTGTTGTTCCGGCGAATTGCGGGAGAAAGTTCGCGGTCTTTCGCGATGAGAGTATAGAATGAATGTGCAGAGCGAAATATCCTCTTGACTATTTATGCTCGTAAAACAGTGCTGTTTATTCGACGATAATTAACCCTCGGATAGCAGCACTCGAGTCTTTTCTCGGACTTGAATTTTTTATATAAAATTAATATTTTTTATATAAATTTTGTTAATTGAAAATTGTGTATTAGACGTATGAGAATTTGATTTGATTTTTCCCGTTTTTTCAAATAGTCCAAATAGTTTTTTTTGTTTTTTTTTTTTATAGTCATATATTCTCTTTATTTTTATTAATTTTTTTATTTATATACTTGTTTTTATTTTATTAATCTTTTAAGCAAAGTTTACAGAAACACAATCAAATCAAAATCAAATTGTTCATTAATCAAGGAGTTTATTCCGAAATAAAAAAATTTTACTATGGATTTTATAAGGACACGGGCGCTGTTCTTTCTTTATGCTGCTACCAAACGTTATTTTGTGTGTGTATGTATGTTTGTGTTGTGCGCATAATTTTAAAGGAGTTACGCACAACAGCATGCAAGTTGTTTCCGAAAGAATCACTGATACTCCTCTCTCTCTCTTTACAATATACCATACAGATAAAGCACAATATAAATACAAAGTTACAATATAAAATTTGAATGGAAAAATCACAGCGAAATAGGTTAAGAGAGAAAAAAGCGCAAAACGTAATAAGTAGAAAGTAAGAAAGAGAAAGATAAAAAACAAAAAAAAAAGAAATATAGAATCTAAACAAAATTGATATGATTTAAAAAGTTCTAAAATATTAGAAATTCAGAATTCTTTTGCTAATAAAGAGGAAAATATCTGTAATATCAAGTTTGTAAGCGGAAACATTAAATAGTAAGAGACAGAAGATGATCCAAGTTTAAGAGAAAGATAGAAAATGGGGTCTTTAATAATTATATCTCTCTAAAATGATAATTTAAAATAATATTTTTAAAACTATAAGCTAATGGAATAATATCCAGCTGATCTGTAATCATTTCTCTAATTATTTTATTATTAAACTTGTTTTCAATTTTTCAAACTTTATAAAATCTAACTTTTGTATCAAATTATAAATTTATTCAGATAACAAAACTTTTTTCGATTTTATTTTAAGTTGCTTGAAAAAAAACGTAAAAGTTTGCCATAAAATTCAAATTATCGAACGATTAAGTTTGAAAAATCAAAAAAACACTTAACAAGATAATTAAGCAATTAACTTAATAAATATAAATAAAGAAAAAATCAAATAAATGACTAAAAATACTTTTTGTCATTAAATTGCTTTGACATTATCTTATCAAAACTGTATTAAAATAAATTTATCGCGTTATTATTTGCCATTTATTATTTATGAAACCAATTTTCTTTTTAATTTATTATATCATTATCCTGCTATTTGCGTGAAGATTAAGAAACGTTATAATGTGTAGAAATTTAATGCTTACAAATAATGAAATACATCTTGCTTCTCTCTGTCTCCCGTACAAAAATTGCTCTATAATATGTATATTAAACGTCTTTTTTCCCTCTCGCTTTTTATACATATTCCCATTTCTTGCCGCACACAAATCTCATATTTTGAGTATATATATTAGTGATATATGACAGTTCTATATAATTATTAGCGCTCTAAATATATAAATTCAAAGCCCAGTTCTTTTAAAAAAAATTTAGAAGATTAAATTTTATGGTAATATTTAACATAAAAAATTAAATAAAAGGTATTTAATAATAAACTAAAAAGTGCAGGTCAGATGTCTAACATCAAAAATTAGATGCGGTTTGATATATCAAAATTCTCATGATGTTTGTGGATGTGTGTGCGTATGTGTATGCGCGTGCGCATGTAATTGAAAGATACACAATGGCTGCAGAATATTCCGCATGATAATAGAACTGATTAATGTAAACTGAATTTAAAAAGTTTCCAGTTTCGATAAGTGAGAGAAGAGTATCATATAAATATGTATATTTTTAAGTCACACATTGATTAAATTTCAATCTCAGAGTCAATGCTCTATTTAGTTCATCCATTGTCCATACATTCGTATTTAATATAAAAATAAAAATCTAATAATATATAGGAATCTTAGAAATCTAACAAAACATAACATTAAAAGATTTGGTATGTAAAATTTGTTCTGAAATAGGAAAAAAAACGAGGATTTAAAGATATTTTAATGTCAATTATAAAGCAGTTAAATAAATACATTCACAATTCTAATAAATAGATATTAAATAATACGATAACTCGGAGCAATAATATTTTTATATTTAAAGATTACAATTATTTTTTATAATAACATTAAATTATATATGTAATAGAATGTTTAAAATATAAAGAAAGATTCTATAAAAAATTTAAGAAATTTGAAAAACAGAAAGAAGTCCAATAACCCCCCTGCGTTTGGTTTATATGTATCGGTTTTCATTTTTCTGGTTTCTAAATTTAATGAAATTGTATGTGTTCTTGTTTCTTGATATCATTTTTCACTATTTTTATTTGATTTCTTCAATTAATAATCTTATTCAGTTTTTAAATAGCAGAGCAATCATCTAGTTATCTTCATGTTTTTCGATGACCGTTTTCCATGGCGTTCTCGCCGTTTGCCTTTAAATACCGGCTCGTAACAATATCAGAAGAGCGTTACACTAATAATGGCAATAACAATATAATAATAAGAACTCCTCTTTCGTCATCGCCCTCTTCTCGTAGTACATTAACACAGTCGTCGAACGAAGTTCTATCAACTATATAACTCACACAACTACTTTTTATTATTTTTCATTATCTGAATAGTTCTTCCTAAAAACTTAACGTGCTAGCGTACGTTTCTTTTTTTGCTTCTTTCGTCTTTTCTTATTTATTTATCTACTTTTATTTATGTGTGTATCGTCATTATGACGAGCATAAGGGGCTAAACTTTCTGCGCCTTGCATTTTCGAGCACGTGATATTTGCAAGCATATATTTGCTCCGAGAGTCGTATGCTGCGCGACCAGGTGACGCTGCATTGTAATAAGATTTGCAAGATTCTAAAAGAGGTTCTTAACTTTTGACTATAAAACATTGACTACTAGCAAAAATTTTAAATTTTTGCTCTGATTAAGAAGCATCGCATAATTTAAAAAAATTTTGTGGTTGACGAATTATTTTATCATCTTTATTTAACTGTTGGAATTATTTTCGTCAATTCTGCATATATTCTTGTGAGGCAGATTAGCAGATTCAAACTGCAATTGTAATTTCTAAATTTGTTACTTAACGAATTATTAACTTGATTGTACGCTAAATGCGTGAGTCGAGTTTTTAATTCGTTGATATTTATCTTTAATATGTTTATTGCACGTCTTATGTATTGTGTTTGTAGAGAAATCTTGGGGAAAAAGACAAAATATAATGTAGAATAAGTATCAGGCTAATAAAAGCAAAAGTGCAGAAATCGAAGCGCTAAAATTTATATATTCAATATTTAATTATATAGATAAAAATTAAATTAATAAAATTAATTTAATTATATAGATAAAACGGTTCGGTTCCATATCTCAGGCCATCTTCAACAAATGTCAAAATTTAAATTGGTCATAATAAAATTGGAATATTAATGTCGAAGTGAGATACAGTCTGAAATTTCTAACATTATTGTTCTATTTTTATGTAAACTTTGACATTTGGTGAAGATGGCCCGAAATAGGAAAGAAATGTTCTATTTGTATAATTAAATTATACTGAATATAAATTTTTGCGCTTTAATTTCTGCGTTTTAGTTCTTATTAGCCCGACACTTGCTTTATAAATAGAGTTATTTCTATTATTATTGATACGATATAATATTGAAACGCAATGAATAATTAATAAGATATTGATTTTACAAATATAATTTTATAAAAGTTAATATAGTTGCTAACATTGGCATCAGTGATACAATTAAAATGTTAGAACTAGAATTTTCCTGATATACAAATTCACAGATTTTAATTTTCGTTTGATATTTTTATCATATTTAATTAATATCATATTTTGATATTAGGATTTTAAATTTTTGATCAAATATTGCCATTATTATGCACAATTTTATATCTTGTCTTTTTACCTCATAATGGAAATAATGTGTAAAGCTAGAAAGCCATCGTTTTATAGTCAAAAGCTGCGACAATTATCGTTTAAATAAGAAGAGTTTATAAATATCATAAAAAGAGATAGCGGAAAAATTAGAGATAATTAATTGAAACTGTATATGTGTAATGGTATAAACGTTAGTACAGTTTTTGCATGACGAGTACGTTTGAGCTGTTAATTGACAATCTAATAGGGAAATTTTGAGGTTTATATTCAAATATCCGACTCTGTGTCCGACAGTAGTCCAGCAACTGTAGCAAGATCTTAAAGATGTCATTTGACGTTTTTTCCACGATAGTTTATCGAATATATTTGCGTCAAACGTTATTGGTTGTCGGAAATTTAAGAAGCCTCGAACCCCCAGGAAATTTCCGAGGAAATTTCAAAAATGTTTTGTGTCAGATGTTCTGTTATATAGGATAATTATTATATCCTTATCCGAGACTCTTATTCGTTGGATTTTCCCTATAGAACGTAAGATCGCGATTTTTCTTCGAAAATCAATTAACATGTCTGAAACGTTCGTAGTGTACGACTTGAATCGATCTTAGAACATAGAATAACTAGATATTCTATAAAATATTTAGAGAAAAAAAGACATTAATATATACTGATAATAATTAAACGATAAATTTCTCATTAACTCCCGCAATAATCAATGGTTGATTTTCACACCACCACCAAATTGCGCCAAAAATTCTCTGTAACTGTAGAATACCTAGACGAACTATAAATAGAAAATAACTCAGTATATCTACAGTTGGATACTTCATTCTTGTTATAGCAGATAATTAAGTCGTGTTATAAGCTATATACTACGACTAAACACATTCTACAGAACACCTAATTATCCTATATAAAACAACGTCATTTCGCACTTTGTTTTAACTGCAACAATTACATAAAAAACTCACACTCTGGTCGAGCCAGCATTCTCTCTCTTTCTCTCTTCATCATCATTTATATCACTCTTGTCTTCTGAATTTTTCCATCACAATATTTCGATCATATCTGCTCTCGCTCTCTTCTGGAAGTCTTTTTCCGTTTTGCCACGCGGTTTGCTTTTGAATCAGATGAGATTAGATTTTTAGATTTCTAATTCCTTTGACACTTATTGGGTTATGCAATCTTCTCTTCTTCATATCTTTCAAGAAACATATTTCTCACATTCCGTGCTTCTTCAAGGCGGCAATCATCGATTGTGTCGATTTTTCTCCAATGATTTTTTACTTCATTTTTCTTCAATGTCGTTAATGCTTGTGTCTCTTGGTTGCACTATACAGGGGAATATCAGGACATTCATTGAGAATTTTTTTATGTCCATCCTAGTTTGTATGTAAATTCTGGATTAAAATTTATAGTCCTTCATTTGGGAGAGAATTAATCTTGACATTTTCTTAACAATACTTTCCAATCCTATTCTTTGTCATCTTGATGATTTATATATAAAGATTTCTTCCCGATTTTTTTCTATCTACTATATAAATGCGCCAGTAGTTTACTCAATTATTTGGTTAACATCTTTGTTCAAATATTTATAATTGTTATTTACTTAAGGTTATTTTATAAGATTCCATTTTTCGTTTTTAATTGATAATTTATTTTAAATTCTATTGGCATCTGTACTTTCCCTTGTTAGATTTTGATACTTCTTGAAGCTTTCTTTCTCCAGCATTAAATTCTTCTTTAAGTTTTAGTTTTGTATTTCTAGTTAGTAATTTTCTTTCCATGATTCTAGTTACCAACATTTCTTTAAGTTTCTTTCGAGTTTTTCAATTATTTTTTTTTGGCTTTAGTAAAAATTTACGATTTTCAATATCTTATAATTTTTAAGTTTTCTCATATGTGTGTGAGAGAGAAACTTATTCCGTGTTTGTCTGTAAAAATAATAATTTTTCTCACTCTCGATTATCTCTAATCTCAATTTTCATGCGAGATAGAATTGTCAATAGAATCACTTCCGATTTCTAAAGTTGCATCCAAATATGACGGCCATGAAAAATCCTTTAGGAATCTCCTGAAAATCCGTGGGAAATGAATCGTCCTCGTCATTCATTTTGCTTTAAACTACGATCGATTAATCGATTGCTGGATCTGGAATCAATTTATGATTGGTCGACACGGCGATGTGTCCAATGCTGATGACTACTCCGCATATCGTTTCTCTTTCTCGCTGCATCTTTTTTGTTACCACTCTCTTTTTTATTCCTTTGGGCAGCAGGGGATGACAGACGGACGCGATTCCGACGACGACGTACGGCATCGTCGTCATCTTTCTCGCAAACCGCGCGATATGATAGGCTCATTGGAGGCTACACTTACTTTCGATTTGCGATTTGAGCTCGTTCACCTGTGTTTCTATCGTATTTCTCAATTCTGAAACAATCAAAATGCAAAAAATCATGCTTAATAATATCTATAATAAAAACTTGAAGAGAAAAATAAAGAGAATAAAATATAAAGTCAATAAAAATTTTTACCAAGATTGAATTATGTTTATCAAATAAAATATAAAGAACAAAGAGAGAAGGAAGAGGAGAGAAAAAAAAAGGATCGTGTTTCAATAGAGATAGAAATCTACATCGGGAAATCTGCATTGTTGATTTGAAAGATTATAGTTCTTTCCACACGCAATCTAATTTTCATAAAGAAAAAAGAAAAATAAAAACATGTATCACGTATAGTTTACAAATGGCAATAATGTTACATGCTTAGGAAAAAAAGTTATGCGAAATATTTATTTTTCGCGAATTTTAAAATTTGTTAGAATTAAGTATTCTCTACAGAAGATGAAAATAATTAATATATTAATAGTCATTCAAAATTCTTTAGTATATAAACAATCATATGGAAAATAGTTGCAGTGATGGATTTGCAAAATTAGAACAAGTTTTATTTTTACGGAGAAAACTGCGCGCCAGATATGCGCAGAAAATCAATAGATTGACATAGTTGCAGATTTACATAGACTTTAAGAAACATGTAATTTTCAGTTTAAATTGAAAAACGCGTGAAGCGTGCTCTTTTATTCGCAGTATTATTTATATAATTAAATGTTTCTCAAATATGGTAAGTCAATTTCTTCTCAAAGAGAAAAAATTGAAACTTGAGGCATTCTTGGTATTCTTGTTTATTTCGCGCTAATTTTTAAGTAAAACAAAAATTTTACTATGCAAATGATTATGAATTAATTATAATATACGAGAACGAGGATGTGAGATAATTTTTCATGAAAAAGATTAGTTGAAAATTTAAAATTAATTCTTTTTTATACGAGGTTTTGTTTTAAAACCAAAAAGGTTGAAAAGAGACTTATTAAGAATTGAAAAACTAATAAAATATTTTTAGTTTTCTTAGCTTAAACGATCTTTAATTTGCTTTATTAGAATAGTTTTTATTAGATATGTTGAAATATAAAATTGTGAATATTACATACTGGTGAATTCGTCTTCATCCTCAGCCTCGGCCTCCGCCGCTAGTTCTTCTGGCGTTTTCTTCTTTCGCATCAGAGGATTAGGCTCTTCTTGTGGCATTTCCTGTATCTCTTCCCGTTTTTTTATGTTATACTGTAAACAAAAAAAAAAACAACATCAAGCGAGATAATAAAATTTTAATCGGTATTTTAAAAGTGTTCAAGTATTTGATACTATATAGTTTATGTATTATAGTTTGTGTTACAAGATTACTTTGTTAGAAAAGTTTAAAATACCAAGAGCCAATAAACAGTAACAAAATAAAAAAAAAAACGTATATATTACTGTCTCAATATATTCTACAATACATCTCTCTTTTAGAAGGAACTTTAGTAGTTCAACATATTATGTATAATAGCAAGAAAAAAACCACAAATTTTGTAAATTATTTATTTTTACGTAATAAGAATAAAAGTACATTTGCATATATGGAAAAAAATTACTTAACTTAATAAAAAAAGCAAAAACTAGGAAAGATAATTTTGAAAAAAAAGGTCATGCCTTTTTTCTAGACATCTAATGTATGTGATTATAACTTTTAATTTACTATTAGAATTATTACATAATTAACTATTTTACACACTTTATATATATATATTTT